ATGTTGAATCCCTAACTAAGATTAGCCTCAAATGCATTTTTATGAACAATTGTGCTGTCTTCTCATAAAAAATCAGGAGAATACAGGAAACACTTTAAAAGCAATGTTCTTTTCCTTGCATTGTCTGAATTGCTGCTTTATCTTCCAGTGCATCTGTGTTTGAGTTGCTGCAGACCTGGGTTTGGCTTGGCCGCCTTACCAGAATTCAACATCTGACCAGATTTGAATTTTTCCCTGCACACTTAAGGCTCTTCTGACTTGACTTTAGGCTACAGCCCAGATGCCACCTGTATTCTGTTTGATGCTTAGTCTTATTAACTTTCACAGTAGGTCCTTTAGTTATTTTGCCATGATGTTTAATTCATGGGTAAGAGTTAAAGGGTGGTATTTTTCAAAGCAAGGTAGGATCAGCACAACCCCAGCTGGAAGTTTCTCTGTGCGTAATATACTGGTCCTGTTCAGATAGTCCAATGTTTGGTGTTTGATCCAGTTGCGATTGCAGTAGCAGGCAGAATCCGCATGCGTTGAGCACTGCTGTGAGGTTGGTGGCTGCTCAGGAATTGAGCTGGTATTTTGGGTATGTTGACAGAAAGAATGAAATTTTATAGTAGCTCTCTGTGGACCAAAGACAAGACTTCAGATCAAGTAGGCAGCCACACCCAGATAATACAGCAGCCTGCTCTGGATCAAAACTACCTTAAGCTCATGCTGTGCTATCTCCAGCCAATGCTGAGGTGTGGCCTAAGGAATGGACCAAGTAAAATAGCTTTAAAGAAACTATTTAGTGGCCACCACGCTGCTACTACAGAAGAAACCTGCAGTACCAAAAATAATACGTGTGCCAGGTTGTGGAGCAAATCTGAAAGCAGAGAACAAGTGATTGGCGTGACCTAATGAGCTGACTCTCTTGTTGTAGCCCAAGGAGGATCCCACAGAGGGTGACTGATTAACTTTGGAGTTACCTTTTACTTTTCAGCATGTCCATTATTTTCAAGGAGCTTTTGCTTTTTATGTGACCTTCACGCGGCCTGCAGCCTCCGCGTCCATTACTGCAGTCATTAAATTAATCAGTAATGAGGTTGCTGCAGGGGTCCATGTTCCTGCAGCTCTCTGAGTTCACCTGTCAGGCTCGGAGTGGCTCAGGCTCGTAAGGTATTTGTTATCTGAAGGAATACTGAGAAATGCCAGATTCTTACAGTGTCAGTTCTAACCTCCTCAACGTTGGCTCTTCAGAAATCTTAAGAGCTTGAAATTTCCCATAAAGCTGTGAGCAGAATTCATCTCTGACCAGTCCGTAGCCTGTAAGTGTGGGAGTGCTTTCAGACAGCGCTTTGCAGCATTGTTACCTGATAGTTCCTCAATTTGTTATCCCTCATGGACTAATGATCACCTGGACAGGACTTTGCTGTAGCTGCAACGCTGAAGGACAGCCTAATGCTACCAGGAGCTGTGTAGGGCTAGTCTGCCCTACCTGTGTATGCATACTCAAGACTGTTTCATGCACTGAAATGTTGCTGCTGTATTATCTTGGTTCAGGTCATTGAGCTTCCTAATTATAACGTAGCAATTTCATGCTTGTGTGCTTAGGCGGTACAGATATTTTTAGTCTGCTGTGGCTCTCGCCGGCGAGTTATCATTTGTCATCTTACTGTGCTGAATTTACAGAAGGAACCAGGGATGAAAACTAGTCCTCTTGCCAAAGAGTTCTTCAAACATGAAGATTTTCTTCTTAATTCAGGCTGGACCTTTCTATCACATAGACAGTGACAGTTCAGTATGTTGCAACCTTGCACCAGAGGGTTAAGAAAGTACAATCTCCTGTCGTTACAGAAAAATCCAGACAGAAAACCACCACACCCTTGTATTTCCAGTCTGATTCTTGTGGTCCTTGTGATTGGCCATGTACTCTCCTCTCCCCATGAAACAGGGCAGAAGAGGACTCTGCACCTCTTGCAGATGATGTTTGTGGTCTCGTGGGGTTGATCCCGCTCCGCTCAGGGTAACAGTGCTGAGATTTTCCTGCTGTAATCCCTGCTGCCAACCAGAGGAGTCTGCTGTGAGTTACCTTCTCCTTCGTCTGTCAGGTCCTCGCAGTCCTACAAAGAGAGTGCTGGAGCCTGCAGTACTAGCGCACAGCAAAATTTATGAGCTACATGGCAGAGCTTTTAAACTAAATAAGAATCCACAAATATCTGTCGTCTTTTGTACTCCTGTCTTGTTGATGTGCCACTTGGCTGATGATGGAGCCAGTGAGATGTGCTGGAGGAATGCAAATTGAGACTGCCCGTTTCAATGAGCCTTGATGCAGAACCTCTCCAGTAATAACAAATTGCATTTCTCCTGCTAGTATGTGTGTGCATACATGGTAATATGCATGTGTTTTGATCTTGCTCTGTGTAGACTGAGTTTGGGAGCTAAATATTAATAAACTTTAAGCTCATAAGGTGAAGGAAGGAAAACTGTGACCTATGTTCTGGACATTGTGCCCAAGCTGAGCTTTGATTTGAGTTGAGGTGGTTAGCTTCAGTGGCACCAGAATCATGCCTTTCTTCCCCTCCTGTCCTCCCTCTTCACCCCCCCCCCCCCCCCCCCAAAAAGAGCAGAAGTTTAGATATTTATAAATCAAGGAAACTTGACGTTAACAGATGTACATTGGCTCAGATCAGGTACATCAGGTACAGATCTGGTCCATTATGTTTAAAAAATAGTTCCTCAGCAGTGAACTCGAATATTGGTATCTGCAGTGCTGTACTGCCGGGGGCTGTCGGTAATCGGCCCCGTTGCATCGCATGCACGCACAGGAGGAGCAGCTTTCTGGCCTGAGGCTTTGTTGGTTGAGCGTAGGATTCATTCTCCGGGCTGCACAATCCTGCAAGACTACAGAAGGTGGCTGTAGAGTACTTGGGCGAAGAGCAGGTGGGGATGGGGCTTCACCCCGGATGTGTTGGGCTGCGTAGCTGAACGGGATATAGGCAGCGCTTTGCTGCTTTTATAGGGCAGGAACACGTTGCTAGATCTTGGGAGCAAAGGAAAAATTAGATAGTACGGAAGAGAGGGAGTTGAACTGGTGGCGGTGGTGTTTCTGCTCGTGTTAGGCCAGCAGCAAGGAGCGCGTTTGTGGAAGCCCGGGAGGACCAAGAGACAGCACGGGGCCGAGGGGCTCTGGGGTCTCTGTGGGGTGCCCCTCGCCGGTCTAGCCCTGAGGGTTCGTGCGCTATGAGGGGCGCAGGCGTGATGCTGCGCTCCCCTTGCTGAGCTCCTCTGGCTGCTTTTTTGCAATATATGCTTTGCAAATGAATCCTGTTCCCTTCTCCCAGCTGCAGGTGATCGGTGTGAAGAGTGTACTGAGTCCCAAACCTGAGGAAAGACGCATAATATTTTGTGTATTGTTTATAACATGTTTGTATAAAGTTTATATAAAGTAATGTTTGTATAAAGTATTATATAAAGTAGTTCCTGTAGATGGACAAAGGGGACTGCAAGTGCCTCGCGTGCTCGGCATGGAGGAAGACGCTTCTGTGCATCGTTTATTGGGGAGGGAGAAAAGGAAGCCGAATTTTTCAGGGTGAGCCCGTGCAGGGATGCGCTGTTGCGCGCGAGTCCGAGC